TTATATTGCCTGCGAATATACTAAGTTGCAATTATTCTTCTCTAGCTTCTAACACATTTTAATCTTGATATGATTCCATGGAACTATAAAATAATATATGATATGTTGTATGTATGTAATAAATATATAAATAGTAAGGAGTAAGAACCATTTTTGGTATCAATGTTTTATATATTGACTATTTAAGATTTTATAATTAAAGTCTATTTTTGCCATTGATAAACTGTGACTAAAATATGTTTTTCAGTGTCGCTGTCTTTTACAAAAGAACATGCAAATACATTCACAATTTTGCCATGAAGCAATGGCGATGGCTCAAAATGTTTTATTTGGAATTGGTGGAACTATATTTATATATACATCAACAATGATGGTTTGTCCATAAGGTTTGTCCTATGGGCGCCCTTCATACAGGTCGACAAATATTGATATTTTCGAAAAAAAAAATTACATTCTGCCTACCCGTTATTCACAATATGAAGCTCCAACGATCTGGCATCATTTACAACAAGTTGCACACTTGAAAAACCAAAATTGACTGCATAAAAGAGGATTTATTATCAACTTTGTCCATTTCCGCAATACAAAATATACAAATTATCACGCTCCGTGGGAACGACCAATATGGCCGCCGCACGTAAACTGCGACTGCGATCAGGCTTCAATTTTCGCCTGCCTACAGGGTGGGATGCGCTATCTAGTGTATATGAGATATCTATGGGACAGATGGACTAATTACGCATTTAGTTGACTCTGCTCGGAAAAGTAAAACAATCATTTTGTTAATTTCTCATCTAATTTTCATTCTAATCATATAGAGGGCAAAAATACTCAAATATGATTGGCTAATGAGGATGACATTTTTTCTTAATTCAGGGCAAAATTACTTGTACCTGATTGGCTGAGACGCAAGCAAGCGCGGAAATTTTATTTAATTTGTCCTTGGCCTATATATGGTCATTAACCCCACACATTTTCGTGTTAATCCCCAAACCATGCACGCGCGGAACTCATAGGGCGAAGCCCACGCCGAGGGTATACTAATTCCGCACGGCTATTCACAACCGGGAAAAAGTAAAGGTGGGGTGGTTGGAACACCGCGGTCGCAGCCACTTCCAGTCAGGTCTAAAATATGTATATAATTTTCGCTCAAAATTTGCATTAACAAAGGCGCCCTGCACTTACTAAAGTCCTCAAAACGACTGAAAATATGTCATTATTTTGCATTCAACATCTGTATATAACAACAGGTGATACACGAGTGTCTTCTAAAATATTCAGTTTAAATCGAATGTATATATACGGCAGACCATGATATAATTATAAGAAACGGACAGTAATCTGCATCCATGCGTGACAAGTTTTCAATATGCAAACAAGTGATATTTTTAGCGTCGTATTTCTGTGCATTATAAATATAATCTTTATGGTTGTAGGAATATTCCTCAATTCTGTGGTTATAATCAGTCTATGGAGGTCGTCACAACTTCGAAAGAAACTATGTTACTTTATGATTCTTCTTTTATCTTGTTTTGATCTGGCTGTAGTCACCATCACTCATCCAATATTGATCGTATATACAATTTATTTTTCCCAAGAAGAAATTAATAAAATCCGCAAGCACAAGCCAAGGCACTATATATCTCTTGTTTTATATGGCTCCTCGATGTCTGCACTTTTTACGCTGAATGTTGAACGATTCTTAGCCCTGACGTGTCCATTTTTCCATCACGCATCAGTCACAAAAATAAGGCTTCTATGTTTTCAGGCATTTTGGACGGTTATAATAGTCGGTCTGTCGCCATTGGTATATTTGAATTTGGAAACAATTGTCGACATTTTTGCATGTGTATCTATTTCATTCCTCTTATTCTTGTTCATTTGTTCAAATTACAAAATTTTTATAATCGCGAAGTCAAAACGTGCGGACGAAAAGGTTGCTGCAACTACAGCGATGGATGAAAATAGGAAGACACGAACCTTAAAAATCAAAAGTATTTCTACGTGTTCTTTGGCAGTTGGCTGTTTTTTCTGTTGTTGCTGCCCGTACATTACATATGAAGCTTTACGTTTAGCATCAAGAACATTGTTGTCTGAGAGGCAATTTTTTTCATTTAGTCTGTGGTCAAGCACGCTTATGTCTTTGAACTCGACGTTCAACTGTGTGATATTCTTCTGGAGAAACTCAATTCTGCGTCGAGAAGGATTGAAGATAGTAAACGCTTTCAGACGACGGGTTACGAACTGAATTGCAATTAACAATCTGTCCGGGTATTGTAGAAAATTCGTTCTGTATTAATTATTTGAAGACAAAACCCGCTTCATTTGAACGCGCGGACGAAAGGGTTGCTGCAACTACAGCGATGGATGAATAGGAAGACACGAACCTTAAAAATCAAAAGTATTTCTACGTGTTCTTTGGCAGTTGGCTGTTTTTTCTGTTGTTCCTGCCCGTACATTACATATGAAGCTTTACGTTTAGCATCAAGAACATTGTTGTCTGAGAGGCAATTCTTGTCATTTAGTCTGTGGTCAGGCACGCTTATGTCTTTGAACTCGACGTTCAACTGTGTGATATTCTTCTGGAGAAACTCAATTCTGCGTCGAGAAGGAATGAAGATAGTAAACGCTTTCAGACGACGGGTTACGAACTGAATTGCTATTAACAATCTGTCCGGGTATTGTAGAAAATTCGTTCTGTATTAATTATTTGAAGACAAAACCCGCTTCATTTGAACGCGCGGACGAAAGGGTTGCTGCAACTACAGCGATGGATGAATAGGAAGACACGAACCTTAAAAATCAAAAGTATTTCTACGTGTTCTTTGGCAGTTGGCTGTTTTTTCTGTTGTTCCTGCCCGTACATTACATATGAAGCTTTACGTTTAGCATCAAGAACATTGTTGTCTGAGAGGCAATTCTTGTCATTTAGTCTGTGGTCAGGCACGCTTATGTCTTTGAACTCGACGTTCAACTGTGTGATATTCTTCTGGAGAAACTCAATTCTGCGTCGAGAAGGAATGAAGATAGTAAATGCTTTCAGACGACACGTTACTAATTGAATTACTATTAACAATCAGTCCGGGTATTGTAGAAAACTTGTAAAACCGCTTCATTTGATTCACAGCACTTGTATGAACATGTTGTTATGTCTAGAATCTAGTCTGAGTTAAACCCATGCACTCGTTATATCGCTAGTTTTTGCCTCGGTCCCAGACGACCGAAATTAATTCCAAATTTTCTTAGTTATGCATTTGATCATCGTCAGATCGTTCTCAGAAAAAAATACAGTTGTCAACATTGGTTGCTTAATTTTTCCATGGGTTTATTAGGAGAGTAATATATAATACTTGTTGTACAACAACAGATGATCTAACAAAAACACACGACGACATTTATTGTGTGGTAGATCCTCGATGGGGAAACAATAAAGTATTTAAATATGATAGTGATTCAGAATCTTATGTTATTCGAGGCATTCTCGTCGCCATTATACTTAGCAAAAAACTTTTCAATTATCTATATAATTATAAACGTATTATAGTGTAATATACCTGACAAATTTGGCAATAAAAAGATGTCCGCCTCCTTTTCTGGCTGCTGTGTTAACGCAGTTTGGCTAGAAAATGCTTGATACACGTCACAGAATATAGAGGGTGTAAATATTTTAGGGTAACTTTTTGAAATAGATTAGAGTTATAGGTGAATGATTATGTACTGTTTAATAAACGAGTAGGAGTGCGAGTTTATTAAACAGCTTCAAAAACGTCTCAGTTAGATCACGGCATTGGCGAAATAATTTTCCAAAATAACTTTGTATTAGCTGAGAAAATACAAGTTGAAATTTGAAGCGTGTTTTATCACATATAAAGACACGCCAAGCTTATGATTTCTCTTTGTGTTTTCCTCATGAATTATTAATGAGTTTTTGAAGTATGTTTAAGACTCAATGCCAACGTTTATGCTAAGTTTATGCTATAAGGATTAAGTATTAACTAGAGAGTGCCAGAAATGGCATATGCCCCCACCAGTGAATTAAGTAAAAATATCATACATAAATTATACAATGGACAGATGGACATTACGCATTCTGTGTACTTCGCTCGGAAAAGCAAGATAAAAGTTGTGTTAATTTCTCATCCAATTTTCATCCCGGCAAATCGAACCAAAATTTAATTAATTTGTCCTTGGCCTATGGCCATTAGCCCCACAAATTTTCGTGTTAATCCCCGAACCACGCGCGGAGCTCACAGGGCCAAGCCCACGCCGAGAGTATACTAATTCCGCACGCGGCTATTTACACCGGGCAAAAGAATAAAGTTGGGTGGGAACACCGCGTTTGTATCTGCACCCGGTCAGGTCTAAAATATATATAATATAATTCTCGCTCAACAATTTCTCATCAACATGCAAAAACCCTTCAAAAAGATGTGCTATATTTCATAAAATGTCCTTCAAAACGACAAAATGTATAACAACAGATGTACAAGTGTCTTCCAAATTATTCCGGAAGTTTAAACTGAATGCGGCAGAACAACAAGGCAAAATCATGATATAGGAAGAAATATAACTCAGTTATTGTGCAAGACAAGTCGTCAATATGCAAAAAAGTGATATTTTTAGCGTCGTATTTCTGTGCATTATAAATATAATCTTTATGGTTGCAGGAATATTCCTCAATTCTGTAGTTATAGTCAGTCTATGGAGATCGTCACAACTTCGAAAGAAACTATGCTACTTTATGATTCTTGTATTATCTTGTTTTGATCTGGCTGTAGTCACCATCACTCATCCATTATTAATCGTATCTACAATTTATTTTGCCCAAGGAGAAATTACTGAAATACGCCGGCTCACAAAGAAGTGCATATTTTTTGTTGTATGTGGTTCCTCGTTAATTGCGCTTTTTACGCTGAATGTTGAACGATTTCTAGCCCTGACGTGTCCATTTTTCCATCAAGCATCAGTCACAAGAACAAGGCTTCTATGTTTTCAGGCATTTTGCATGGTCATAATGGTCGGTCTATCGCCACTGGTATATTTTAGTTTCGAAACAATTGTCGATATTTTTCATGTGTATCTATTTCATCCCTCCTATTCTTGTTCATTTATTCAAATTACAAAATTTTTATAATCGCGAAGTCAAAACGCGCGGACGAAAGGGTTGCTCCAACTACAGCGATGGATGAAAATAGGAAAACGCGAATCTTAAATCTCAAAAGTATTGCTACGTGTTCTTTGGCAGTTGGCTGTTTTTTCTGTTGTTATGGCCCGTATATTATATGTGTAGCTTTACGTTTAGCACCAAGAACGTTGTTGTCTGAGAGGCAATATTTGTTATTTAGTCCGTGGTCAGGCACATTTATGACTTTGAACTCGACGTTCAACTGTGTGATATTTTTCTGGAGAAACTCAATTCTGCGTCGAGAAGGAATGAAGATAGTAAACGCTTTTCGACGACGCGTTACTAACTGAATTGCTATTAACAATCTGTATCCGGTACTGAAGAAAATTCGCTCTGTATTAATTCTTTGAAGACAAAAACCGCTTCATTAGATTCATTGCATGAGCATGTCGTTGTGCCTAGAATGTAATTCTGAGTTAAATCCACCTGTTATATCGCTAGTTTTTGTCTCGTTCCTAGACGACCGAAATTAATTCCAAATTTTCTGATGTATTTGATCAATCTCAGAAAAAAACACAGCCGTCAACATTGGTTGGTTAATTTTCCCATGAGCTAATTAGAAGAGTAGTATACTGTACATCGACGATGAACTTGTTGTGCAACAACAGATGATCTAACAAAAACACGCGACCATATTTATTGTGTGGTAGATCCTCAAAACAATAGAGTATTTAAGTATATGACAGGGGCGGCGGAACAGGGGGGCTAGGGGGGCTAAAGCCCCCCCAGAAGTAAAAGTGGGGGGCTTAGCCCCCCCCAGAAAATTTGAATTTTTTGAAAAAAATTGATAATTAGGGAAAAATTTAGGTTATTTTTTGAAAATTTAGGTATAAGTGGACAAATTTGCAATATTTTGTTTAAAAAGTGTATTTCCGAAAAAAATTTTTGATATAAGTCCGAAAAAATTTTTTTCGTCCCTTTTTTTGTATATTGTACCCCTAAAGTGGTACACTGACCGAAATTTTTTTGGCTACGGGGGGGGAGGTCGCCGAAAAAGTTTAGCCCCCCCAGAACGAAATCTGTTCCGCCGCCGCTGGTATATGATAGTGATTCGGAATATTATGTTATTTGAGGCATTTTCTTCGCCATTATACACATTATACACACAAGAAATTTTAAAATTATATATTTAAATATAAACAGTTGTCGTATTATAATTATTGCAATGTGTCCGGCAATAAAAAGATGTCCGCCTTCTTTTCTCGCTGTTGTGTTAATGTAGTTTGGCTAGAAAATGCTTTATACTCGTCACAAAATGTAGAGGGTTTAAATATTTTAGGTCAAGTTCTTTGAAATAGACTAATGTTATAGGTGAATGATTGTGTTTAAGATTCAGTGTCACGGTCTATATATTAAATTTATGCAATAAGGATTAAGTGTTAACTAGAGAGCACTCAGAGACTACATATGTCTCCGCCAGTGAATTAAGTCAAGATTTCTTGAATAAATTATATATATACACATATCGATCATATGATTGGTTTTGTGCATAAATTATACAATGGACAGATGGACTATAACTACGAATTCAATTTCTCAGATGGACTATAACTACGAATTCAATTTTCATCCAAATCGAACCAAAATTTAATTGGCCTTTTCCCAAAACTATCACAGTGGCAGTGCATTCAGTGTTTCCACAACGCATCATTGAAATTTCCTTGATTTTGCTTTAAAATTTCCTTGAATTTCCTTGAAATAGGATGTAATTTCCTTGAAATTTCCTTGATTAACCGAAGTAAATTTCGGCAACTAGAATCATTAATACTTATATAAAGTAAGACAGAAACAGAATGGTACATTTCTTTCGTACAACTCTTAAAAACAAAGCCTTTACACAACAATTTTGAAAGCTTTAAAATGTAAAATACCAGAGTTTTAATATTGTTCTCAACTTTAACTGAGTCAACAAATTCACATGACAAATAAATTCATATAAATTCGCATGACAGCTACCCTGGATTCCAGAGCCTGCCAATCTATTATTTACTGTCGAAACAGTAAATAATAGATTGAAACGTCGCGAAGGCTCTGGTTCAACGGGAAGATTCTTTGATTAAACCGCGGCAATCACAAAACAGAATTAGTGTTTTTTAGTGTACTAAAACCACTAATTCTGTTTTGTGATTGGCGCGGTTTAATCAAAGAATCTTCCCGTTAAACCAGAGCCTTCGTGACGTTTCAATTTATTATTTACTGCCGAAGGCTCTGGAATCCAGGTTACATGACAGCCAACCAGTGCAGCTAACACGTGGTGGCCTGCACGCAGCACGCTACCTGCCTAAAATTCAGGTTGTGTGCAGCCTACTTACTTAGTTTCATTAATAATTTTAGATTCCACCGACACGGTCACAGGCTCCGAAAGAGTTTTTTTTATTTTTGCACGCGGACATATTG